CAAACCTTTTCCCCTTAGAGGGCCAAAACTGATACTCTCTGGCCAGTGGGCCAAAAACAAACACCCATTCTAGTGTACTTTTAAGATCCAAAATAGTACTAGGATCCCAAGTTCTCTTATTTGGCTGACTTCTTGCACAAAGTGTCATTGTGCCTGCTGCGCTCAGATTATGAAATGTCTAATTAACTAATAACTATGGATCCTACATATTTAGACAGCTTTTTTACTTCACAAAAAATAAAACCGCATGAAGAGAAATTTAGATTCAAATTATTATTCAAGTTTTATTATTCAAGTTATTTATTTTACTAGAAACTGGCAGGCCAAATCCAACCATATGGAGAGCCAGCTTTGACCCGCGGGCCCCCACTCAAAGTCACATGAATTCTGACCGCTCACAGTGAGGTGCACAAAATCAGACCTGTATCTGATTAAGGACCACATATGAAAGTGACCCAAACCAGTTTGTTAAATCAAATGGATAGAGGCCTTACATTGCTTTATTTCTAAAAACAAACACAAGTTTTCACACAGAATTGGTGAACTGAACTTTAAAAGTATCCCCCCAGTGAATACTCAATTCCAGCAATTATTAAACGAGTAAAGAGCTCGTATGGTTAATTAACTAAATCATTTTAAAGGCTCACTAGTTATTAGACCTCCTGTTGTAATTGCTGAGCAGTGCCTCTTTAATCTTGTGTTCACTTGTGTCACTCTCTTCCTCTTCGTGTTCTTCCTCTTCCACTCCATCCAGCTCTGGGCATAACCTGCTTGACAAGCGTGTCTTAATGCATAGCAGGGTCCCGCCGCTCCACAATAGTCATTAAACTTGTGGATTAGCCCCGTTATTCACTTCAAACCCACACACACACACACGCTCAGTCCCAGCGAGGCCCCCGGAGGCCGATGGTGAAACTGATTCTAACAGGAACTGATGAAACGTTTTGGTTGGTGAAGGGCAGCTCAGGAGTTTAAGCCAGAGAAAGTCAGATCAGTTGTAAAGGCTTGGTGCCAGAGAGAGCGGGCTGCTCACTCAGCCTGACAGCAATGTAGGACAGTCTTTCAGCCTTTCTGTCTGTCTTTTAGTCTCTCTGTTTGATGAAACAAATCTTGGTGGAGTGTGGTTATTGAGTTGGAGCAGTCAAATTAGTGTCTATATATTCATAGGAAAGACAATCATGTGCATGTGTCAAGGGACTGTGCACTGTTGAGAATACTGCCCTCAAGAAAGACCTTTCATCAAGACGTGAGATTGAATAGCGATCTTCCTAGACTGTCTGAAACCGCTCAGTGAATGCCAGATGGGACAGACCAGCTCACCTGGAAGGAATTCATCACTATCATTATGAATGAAGTCCACAAGCTCCTCAGTTAGTTTTGTTCCAATGGCTGAGGCAGGCGGTGCATTAGGCTGTTTTCAAAGGGACAAATGTGTCACATTTATGGCTGCCAGATTGGTTGAGGTTTCTGGGATGAAAACCTTGGTGTGCAGGAGTTAGGCAGCTGTTGGGCCAAGCCTTTTTGTCTACCTAGTATGATGGTGTGGTGGTTTTTACTGCACTTTGTACTACACTTCCCTGACATCACTTGTCAGTGGAAAAGATGTACCTGTGATTAAGATTTTTTTATAGGTTGTACTTTATTTGCCAAGTAGGGGTGGCTATTATCATTTCAACAACCAGTATAAAAGCAGATAATGCAATATGAACATTTTGCTGATACACACTTTGGATAATTACTTTAATGTCAAATGTTGATAATGCTGTCTGAAATCACTCAATATTTCTTATGTAGTGTGCTGTTTACCCAGTGCCATTATGACTGTTCAAAGTGTAAGATTTATGCTCTTTATAGTTTATCAGCCCAGTTCAAGGTGAGGACTTGATATTTGAAAATGAATATGTGCAAAAGGGTGGAGCCATTGTGAAGTGTGATGTTTTTCAAGTCTTCAGCTGTTTGTTCAGTGTGAACCCTTTGGGCAAAACTAACCATCTTTGTACAGTATAATAACACTATGTTGTCTTTAAAGCCAGACATCAGTCAGGGTTTGCCATTGCTGACAATGTAGTGTTGAATTTGATATTTAAGTTTGGAAAGGTTCAACTCAGATCTAATTCCCTTATTTTGTGTCTGCAGACCATTTTCTCTGCATGACCAGAGCTTCTAATGAATCTTCAGAGTTTTTAATCAGCCCTATAACCACTGTCTGTCCCAGTGAGTGCGTGAGTAATGAAGGTACACCATTGGTTGGTCGAGTGCTGGAGTTTCCCCATTTGGCGTTGCTCTTTCAAAATGAATAGGTGCAAAATGTTAAGTCATATACAGTAACTCCATAGTCTGTGCACAGCTCTCCAAGGCTAACAGTAGTGGCTTCATACCCTCTAGTGCTCATGCTGCATTGTAGACTTTTAAGTTCCCTTACTACATAGACCCCATACTCTGTGCGTCACACCACAACGACACATCACAGTACACTACAGCACCTGTTATTCATTCAGAGGGGGTCACTCATCATAACTACAAAACATAAAGCCTACTGCTGTGAGAAGCAGAGACGATGATTAAACACTGTAACAGTCCTGGGACAAGTTGCAGAACATATAATATCCAGTAATTCACATTATAGACACTACTACTGATTATTTGTGTAAGAGTTCAACCACACGGTCCAGCCATATACTAGGTTTTCAACCTAGTGTTGTTGATACTGACAGTGACAGGGGTGATTGGGTGATTGTTTGTCTGCGCTCAGACAGAGAGACAGACAACAGCAGCAGACTCTGTAGGTGATCAGAGTGGAGAGACAGTGTTGATGTATATTTGATTAGGCCAAGCTGACCTCACCACCTCTACCTCAGTAGGCCACATTATCAGTTGACCTTGTTGTCTCAGTCCCTTTCATAGTTAATGTAGTTTGCTGACATACTCATACTGTTTGATTACACTTGCATACTGACCGGCAACATTTATCCATAAAACATTGGTTGAACATTTTGCTTTAGATATTCTTGTGTTGACTATACTGCCTGTAAACCCTGTAATCAGTCCTATGAACTAAAGCTAACAGTGGAGCTAAGGTGACTGTGTCAGGCTGTCTGTCTGATGCCCTAACCCTAGCTCATACATTATGGATTAGTGCAGAGGTAGACTGCAGCAGGGGAGAGTCTGATGATCTTTCTTTTTAAGGCTGTTAATACAGAACATGCTTTTTTGTGCTGTTTGTTAATTTGTCCACCCAGTGTATTCAAAATGGGAGACTTCAGCAGTGGCAACCATTTGTGCAATGCTTTCAGCAAATGCTTTATTTTTATTTTTTTTCCCCCTTTTATTGCCTTTATTGGATAG